TGCACAGACATTCGATGCACTCATGAAAATGCCAGCATAAACAAAAAGGTGTCATTCCTGCTTATTTGGATCTTTCAACATAATGGTGAAGACAGTACAATGTAATGTATGTGTTCATAATGTATTAGGTGCATATATATTTACTATTGTTATATTTTCTCACTGAATTGCTTCCTTTATCATTATGTAATGATTATCTTTGTCTTTTTTAACCATTGTTGATTTAAAATCTACTTTATCTGCTATGAGACTGGCTATACCTGATAGCTCTTGGTTTTCCTCAAACTCCTGGGCTCAAGTGATTCTCTTGCCTTCTAAGTATTTGGGCTACCAGTACAGACCACCATACCCAGCTAATTTTTCTATTATTATTATTATTATTATTATTTTTTTTTGGTGTTGCTGTTAGCGATAGGATCTCATCCTTGTTCAAGCTGGTCTCCAACTCCTGACCTCAAGCAGTCTTCCTGCCTTTGGCTCCCAGAGTGCTAGGATTACAGGCATGCACCCCTGAACCCAGGCCAGTCTATGTCTTTTAAGTAGAGCATTAAGATCATTTATGTGCAGTGTTAATATTGGTATGTGGGATACTGTGCTATTCATGTTGAAGTATACCTTCTTGTTTTGTTTCTCTCTTGTGCTACTGTTTCATAAGAATTGTGACCTCTAACTTTCAGGTGATTTTACACTGGTGTGTATCTATTGCTCTGTTACATGTATAGTGCACTTTGGGGCATTTCCTGTGGGGCAGGTCTAGTAGTAACAAATTCCCTTAGTATTTGCTTACCTTGGAACATTTGAAATTTAGGTGTTCAGGATACAAAATTCTTGGCTGGAAGTTGTTCTGCTTAAGAAGACCAAAAATGGGGCTACAGTCCCTTCTGGCCTGTAAGATTTCCACTGATAACTCTGCAGTTAGCTTGATGGTGTCCCTTGTAGGTTAGTTGTTGCTCTCATCCTGTAGACTGTAGAATTTTCTCCTTCACTTTGACTGTGTCCTGGTTAATGACTATATATGTCTTGGAGGTGTCCCATTTGCTATGAATTTCCCTGTGTTTGGTGACCATCTTATACCTGGATATCTGAATTTTAGGTGATAGCAGGGAAGTTGTCCTCAATAATTCCCTTAAATAGGTTTTCTAAGCTTTTCGCTTTTTCTTCTTCTCCCTCAGGAATATCTATAATCATATATTTTCTTATAGTATGTAGTTCCATAATTTACTGATTGGTTGCTCATTTTTTCTTAATTCTTTTTTCTGTCTCTTTGATTGTCTGGGTTAACTTGAAAGCCTTGTCTTTCAGCTCAGAAATTCTTTCTTCTGCTTAGTTCAGCCTGTTGTTGGAGTGTTCTCTTATATTTTAAAACTCCCTAAATGACTCTTTCATTTCTTTAAGTTCCATTATTTTCTTATGTTGTCTATCTCTTTAGTGACTTTTTCATTCAAGTCTTAAAATGTTTTTTGGTTTCTTTGTGTTGGTTTTGAACTTTCTCGTCAATCTCATTCATCTCACTTGCCATCCATATTCTGAATTCTATTTCTGACATTTTAATAATAATTTCTTTGTGTTCTTTCTTTCTATTGCTGTAGATCTATTATGATCCTTTAGGGTTATTAACCTATCTTAATTTTTTTCTTTTTTTTATTAAGTCATTTGTACATAGATCATGAATACATTTATGCTATTATGGAATTCAATGTGTTGATTATTTATACAAATTGGAGTGCTTACATTGTACTAATTAACATAGCTTTCACTTCATTTACTCAATTACAGTGTTAAGACATTTGTGTTCTATACCTGATAGATCCAATTTGTACTTGCAATATGCTCCATAGGTGTGGTCCCCCATTAACCCTCTCTCTATCGACCCACACTCCTCCCTTTTCCTCCCCCTCCCCTTCCCTCCTTCATCCTAGGCTATAGTTGTGATCCATCTTTCATACAAAAGTGTGAGTAATTATAAATTGGTTTTGTAGTAGTACTGAGTACATTGGATATATTTTTTTCCATTCCTGAGATACTTTACTAAGAAGAATATTTTCCAGCTCCATCCATATAAACATAAAAGAGATAAAGTCTCCATATTTTAATGCTGCATAGTATTCCATGGTATACACATACCATAATTTATTAATCCATCCATGGGTCAATGAGCACTTGGGCTTCTTCCATGACTTGGCAATTATGAATTGAGCTTCAGCAAACAATATGGTGCAAATATCTTTGTTGCCAAATGATTTTTGGTCTTTTGGACCTAGAAGAGGAATTGCAGGATCAAACAGCAGGTCTACATTTAGATCCCTGAGGGTTCTCCAAAGTTCCTTCCAAAAGGAACATACCAGCTTGCATTCCCACCGGCAGTGCAGAAGTGTTTCCTTTTCTCCACATCCACACCAACATCTGTAGTTTTGGGATTTTGTGATGTGGGCTACTCTTACTGGAGTTAGATGGTACCCCAGAGTGGTTTTGGTTTGCATTGCTCTGATGATTAAAGATGATGAGCATTTTTTCATGTGTCTGTAGACCATGAGCCTGTCTTCTTCAGAGAAGCTTCTGTTCATGTCTCTTGCCCACAATGAAATTGGATCACTTGATTTTTTCTTATTAAAGTTTGAGTTTTCTGCAGATTCTGGTTATTAGACCTTTGTCAGAAATATAGCTTGCAGAAATCCTCTCCCATTCTGAGGGCTATTTGCTTTATTTGTGTGTTCTTGGCAGTGCAGAAGCTTTTTAATTTGATCAGATCCCAGTAATGTATTTTTGATGTTGCATGTTGCTTCAATTGCCTGGAGTGTCCTCCTCATAAAGTATTCTCCCAGGCCAATTTTTGCAAGTATTTCCCCTGCATTCTCTCCAAGAATTTTTATAGTTTCATGTCTTAAGTTTAAGTTCTTTAACCAGTGACAGTCAATTTTTGTCAGAGGAGAAAGGTATGGATCCAGTTTCAGTCTTCAACAGGTCGCCAGCCAATTCACCCAGTACCATTTGTTAAATAGGGAATCTTTCCGCCAGTTTATATTTTTGATAGGCTTATCAAAGATCAAATGACAATAAGTGTCTTGGATTTTTTTCTTTATGTTGCCAGAGGTCTTTCCTGGTTTCTTTTCACTTTTTAGAGCAGTTTTATGGTATACCTGTTGGGTGCAAGGTTGGTTTTCAAGCCACTTTTGGAAACTCACATTGAGAGTTGGTAAAGTTCCTCTCTGTGGATGTGGGTGCTGTCAGAGATTGCTCTGGCCTGGTCTCCACATGGTGGTGGCTATGTAGGCAGTGGACATAGGTGGAAGGGTTGTGAACATCCAATCCACCAATGTCCAGTGGGCATATCATGGCTAGCAAGTCAGTGGCAGAGTGCTGGACCACAGGTGTGAGGGACTTGGGATGGTGAGACATGGAGTTTTTCTGTTTGTTTGTTTTACTCGTTCGCTTTCTTTAATATTACACTGTAGGGACTTTTGTTTTATCACACTATTTACTCATTGTCTAGACAGTATCTGGAATGTATCAAAATTCAATTTGTGATAGTGAAATATTTTCTCACAAAAACTGGAGAATAGGGTGGTGCCTGTGGCTCAAAGGAGTAGGGCATTGGCCCCATATGCCAGAGGTGGTGGGTTCAAACCCAGGCCCACCTTCTCCCCCCCCCAAAAGAGAAGAAGATAAAAAACTGGAGAATACATACATGCCATCCATGAAAAACAGAGAGTGGAAAATTATTTCCTAATTAGAGATAACAAGGGATCTCCTACGAGGGACCATATTCACACATAAAATGTAGAAATTACCTGCTCATAGAATGGGGTTACCAAAGGCTGGGCAGTTGAAGGAGAAGACAGATGGTGGTCAATGAATACAAAATTAGAGTAAGGAGGAATAAATTCAACAGATCTATTGGAAAACAGGGTGGCAATAGTTATTGACAATAAATTGCATTTAAAAAAAATCAAGAGAGTATATGTTAAAATGTTTTCACTAAGAAAATAATGACTATTTAATTAATGCATATGTCAATTAACTACACTTAGCCATTCCATAATGTGTATACTTAAAAAAAAATCATGTTGTACACACTATAGCTTTATCTATCAACTTAAAAATAATTATTTTTTCTTAAAAATTTAAATTCTTTTTTTTTTTTTGCACATGAACTGTACTTTATTTATTTATTGAATGGTAACTATGTACATTAATGCACTTCTGGGGTACACATACAATCCGAAATACTTCCATCAAACTGGTTAACATAGCCTTCATGTCATTTTCTTAGTTATTGTTTTAAAATGTTCACATTCTACTCTTAGAAAGATTCACCTGTACCCTTGTAAGACAAACCTCAGAAGTGATCCCTCCAATCCCCCTCCCTCCACCCATTCTCCCCTCCCCTCTCCCCAAAGGTATAAATTAGTTTCATAATAGGGGTGTGTACATTGTATACTTTTTCTTCCATTCTTGTGATACTTTGCTAAGAAGAACATTTTCCAGCTTCATCCATGTGAATATGAAGGACGTAAAGTCTCCATCTTTCTTTATAGCTGCATAGTATTCCATGGTGTACATATAACACAGTTTGTTGATCCATTTGTGGATCGATGGGCACTTGGGCTTCTTCCATGACCTGGCAATTATGAATTGGGCTGCAATAAACATTCTGATACAAATATCTTTGTTGCAATGCGATTTTTGGTCGTCTGGGAATATACCTAATAAAGGAATTGCAGGGTCAAATGGCAGGTCTATTTTTAGTTCTCAAAGTGTTCTCCAGATGTCTTTCCAAAAGGAACGTATTAGTTTACATTCCCACCATCAGTGTAGGAGTGTTCCATTTTCTCCACATCCACACCAGCATCTCTGGTTTGGGGATTTTGTGATATGGGCTAATCTCACTGAAAAATTTAAATTCTTTAGTACACAATATAAATGATGAAACTTCTAATCAGTTTGTTATGCACACTTATGTCATGTTCTCTTTCTATTTATTTTCTAGTCACAGTAACCACATGGATCCAGTGAACAAGACACAAATTTCCAAATTTTATCTTGTGGGATTCTCAGAGGATCCAGAATTACAGCCCATCCTCTTTGGTCTATTCCTCTCCATGTACCTCATCACTGTGCTTGGGAACCTGCTCATCATCCTGGCCACATCCTCAGACTCCCACCTCCACACCCCTATGTACTTCTTCCTCTCCAACCTGTCCTTTGTAGACATCTGTTTTGTCTCTACCACTGTCCCAAAGATGCTAGTAAATATGCAGACACACAGAAAAGACATTACCTATTCAGGCTGCATCACCCAGATGTACTTTTTCTTACTCTTTGTAGGACTGGACAACTTCCTTCTGACTGTGATGGCCTATGACCGGTTTGTGGCCATCTGTCACCCCCTGCAGTACACAGTCATCATGAACCCCAGGCTCTGTGCACTGCTGGTTCTGGTGTCCTGGGTTATACATGTCCTGCATTCCTTATTAGAAAGCTTAATGGTGTTGTCACTGTCCTTTTGTAGGCATTTGGAAATCCCACACTTTTTCTGTGAACTTGATCAGATAATACACCTTGCCTGTTCTAAGACCTTTATCAATCACGTGGTGATGTATTTTGTAGCTGTAGTGTTAGGTGGTGGAAGCTTTGCTGGGATCCTTTACTCTTACTCTAAGATAGTTTCCTCCATACGTGCAATCTCCTCAACTCAGGGGAAGTATAAGGCATTTTCCACCTGTGCATCTCACCTCTCAGTGGTCTCCTTATTTTATTGTACATGCCTAGGAGTGTATCTTAGTTCTGCTGCCACCCACAACTCACACTCCAGCGCAATAGCCTCAGTGATGTACACGGTGGTCACTCCCATGCTGAACCCCTTCATCTACAGTCTGAGGAATAAAGAAATAAAGAGGGCTCTGAAAAGATTCTTCCAAGGGAAGTAAAAAGGGTCATTTTTCATGAAGTACCTGTGGTTTTAGTGCTTTAGCCTCAGAGGGAAAAATTATGATTCATTAATCAGATTGTTAAAGTGTATGTGGCTTCTTCTATTAATTTCTTAGACTTTCAATTTCTTTGCTCTTAATTCTTTATTGAATTCATGCCATTTCTTCATGAAATGCTTTCTGATATGCACTCCCTTTGTACTTTGTAACTTTCTTATTTTCCTGATGTTTGCAAACTTCAGTTAGAAACAAGTTGAAGATGCCTATTTATCTCATATACTGGTGAGTTGTATTCATCCTACAAAACCAACCACCCTATAAGGACATTAATGTAAATTTATTTTAGGTGAATATAAGAATGCAGTTTTCTATTTTTGAGTCCATCATTCCTTTCTCTGTAACTACTCTAACTTTAACTTTTCTTCCTGATAATTTCAAGTTTAGCACAGTAGTGTCTTCTACAGCTAGTTATGGTATTTTATTTCCTTCTGTATGATTTTAACCTCTGTTCAGCTCCATGTGCACTAAGCCTACCATATTTCTTTATAAATAGGAAGGCAAAAATTGCTCATCAAAGATATTTTGCAATTTTACTGTACATAAAAAGACAAATTTTCAGGAATCAATTGACTTTCTTTGGCCTCATAGTCAGAGATGAACTTAAACATGATGAAGTATAATTTTTAGCCATACAATAAATTAATATGGATTTGTATTGTTGATGTATATTACTCATTGAAGTGTGAAATCTTGGTGTCCATGTCTAGGCTTATTATTTCAACAGAAAGATTTCATGTCATGGTCTACATTATTTCATTGTTTCTGCTTGAAATTTTCCAGTTTTAAACAAAAATGTGACTCCTTCCATTCTCCCCCTTCAAAAAATTGTGTCATAACCATTTATGGTGTACATAATGAAAAATATGTGTATTTACTTTTTATCTGTTGTTTAATCCCTTTTATACTCTAAACCAGACATCCTCAAACTATGGCCCATGGGCCACATGCAGCCTGCCTAGGACATTTATCCATCCCACTGGGCATTTTTGCTGCTGCTGTCTGTCCTGCTTAGCAGCCAACTCGTCCTGGGGCCCACAATCTGGCCCTCCAATGGTCTGAGGAACAGTGAACTTGCCCCCTGTTTAAAAAGTTTGAGGATCCCTGCTCTAAACTCTCTTCAACCTTCATGATCAAAGGATGTCTCAGACAAGAGCTTGAATATGCCCATTACTTCCTCTGGGAATAGAGACCAGTGAATCAGAATCACAATATATTCCTGCTATGCCATTTATGTCTTTTCAGTCACTCATGGTTACCTACAAGGTATCACAAAAGTGGCCTCATTTTAATAAATGTATCTAAAATAAGCATAAATAACCAGAAAATCATGAATACTGCCTTGAAATCTCAGAACAAATGCCAAAACATAAGAGGCATCACATTACTCTGAATGCCCTAAGTTCCATTTGCATCGAATATTTTATAAGTAAGTGACTACCAAATAAAAAGCCTAATAGTAAATTGTGTAATGTCATCCTTTTTTTAATCACAAAGGAGTTGGAGAACTTTTCACATTGGTGATGGGGACACAGGAATCTTGAAGGAGACAAATGTATTCAGCCAATAAAACTATTATTATCTACTTATTTCAAGGCAGCTAATAAATAAGTGAAAATAAAATTGTTTACCTGGGGGAGATGCAGATATGCAAGAATTTCACATGGTTATTGACAGTAATGTTTATAAATTATATGATGGAGACCTGTGGCAGGGAAGATAAAAGTTTATTGAAGAGTTGGGGGAGTTTCTAGAAGAGTTAGAGGAATAATTTGATGCAGCAAGAAACATCTGTTTTATAGATATTCAACAAATTGGAAGGTAATAGATATTTCAAAGAGTCTAAAAATTCTTATTGTGACTAGTTGGAGTCTGAGGGTGGAAGTCAACATGTCTCTGAATTCAATGAAGCCTAGCATAATGGACCTTCAAGCACTATGCACCCCAGGATGCACCCGTAGAGAAGGGCCCTTTCAAGATTACAACTTGTTGACTCCCTAAGTCAGGATAATTCTACACTTCCTTCCTTCCAAGATACCTTTCTGGCGTCACAATGGGCTTAGTAAATGGGGAATTGGGAGATTGTACAAAAGCTGCTATCTGTGGAACATCTGCTATGGAGCCTGAAAATTTCAATGACTTAAAATACTACTTAATGCTCCATGTAAACTTAACAGGAAGGTGAAATTTCTAAAAGGTTCATTTTCTATCATGATAAAAGGACCCAGGAGTCATGTGGAAACTTGATTATACAAAAGCTGAGCACATTTGACCTTCAAAAGGCAGGCATTGGGTGCCTGGTAGAATTTTTGGCAAAGAAAGCCTCAGATCATCAGGTACTAGATTCTCAAAAGAAGTGTACAACCTGGATCCCTCACATGTGCAGTCTGCAATAGAGTTCATATCAGGTATCATTTCACCACAATGATATGAAGTCAGGAATCCACAGAAGGAATTTTAGAAAATTCACAAGTACATGGAAATTAAACAACATGCTCTAGAATAACCAATGGACCAATGAAGAAATTAAAAGAGAAATTAAAAGAACACTTTTAGATAAATAAATATAAAAACACAACATACTGGAGGCAGAGCATGATGGCAGAAGGGAGAGACCTTTAGCTCAGCTTTCCTGGAACAACAAGTGAGAGTGAGTGGCCTAGGCCATTCCCAGCATGGAATATTGGTGTGGAGTGGCAGTTCCAGGTGTGCAATGAAGTGGTGGATTGCTAGACTTGGAGTGTAACCCAGAGTGGTGGAGTCTGACAGGAAAGTTTCTGTCAAGCAGCTGCAGCAGCAACCACCGAGGATTACAATTCCCAGTTTGTGGGGAAACTAGAGGTTATGTGGAAAGTCTGGCAAAGTGTGGACTCCTGAGAGGAATTTGGCAGCCAGAGTGGGGTGCTATCTGGAGCTGCACTGCCACAGTTAGGTGGCAGGAGAGACACTCAGACTGGAAAAATTCTGGATAATGTTCTTCTTAGCAAAGTATCTCAAGAATGGAAGAAAAAGTATCCAATGTACTCAGCCCTATTATGAAAGTAATTATAGTTTCTAACTATAGTAACTAACTAATTAACCTAATTATAGCTTAAAAATAAGGGGGGGAGGGGAAGGGAGGGGAGGGGGTGGATGGATGGAGGGAGGGTGATGGGTGAGATCACGTCTATGGTCTATCTTATAAGGGCACAAGTGAATCTTTCTAAAAGTAGAATATAAATGTCTTAATGTAATAACTGGGAAAATGACATGAAGTTTAGGTTGATCAGATTGATGAAAATATTTCAAATTGTATATGAAAACACCACACTGTACCCCATGGTTGCATTAATGTACACAGCTATGATTTAATAAAAAAAAAAAAGCTGACATTGTTTTGAAATTTGGGAGATGGCAGTCATCGCAGGCACCTTTTTGAGTAGGCCAGGTGCCGTGATTTGAGTCTCACCTGCAGGCAGTTATCCTGCACCTGAAGCAGGCCCAGGATATCTTGCATTTCACGGGAACTGTTGCAGGGAGAATCTGTGAAACCTGTCTGTGAAGATTTTTTGAGAATCAAAAATCAGCAGTTTGGCAGAGTCTAAGCGCCAAGCGGATAGCCAAGCAAACACCAAGAAGAATTTTCACCAAGCCAGTAGTCAGGTATAAGCCTGGGAACCGCTCACGGCACCACCTGGTGTCCAGAAAGTATATTGCAATATAAATATATCCCTAGTAAAGTTGATTCCTAAGGCATACATATAGTCACATATATATATTTTTGTTGGTGGTGACTTTTTTCTTTTTTCTTTCCTTGGTCTTTTTGTATTTTTCCTTTTTCCTATCTTATAGGAATTATTGTTAAATTTTTCTAAAATTATTACTAATATTACCTTTTTTTCTCTTCTCTTCTTATGGTTGCTGACAGTGCTTACATCAGGCTATTTGAGTATATTTCCTTTTCTTTCTTTGAGGGCTGTCTGCTTGCTTTACTTACTGTATTTTTGACTGTGCAAAAGCTTTTTAGTTTGCTCAGATCCCAGTAGTGGATTTTGGGTGTTGCTTCAGTTGCCCAGAGGATCTTCCTCATAAAATATTTGCCCCGGCTGATTTCTTCAAGAGTTTTCCCTGCACTTTCTTCTAGTATTATTATAGTTTTATGTCTTAAGTTTAAATCTTTGATCCAGTGAGAGTCTATCTTAGTTCATGGTGAAAGACGTGGGTACAGTTTCAGTCTTCTACAAGTTGCCAGCCAATTCCCCGAGCACCATTTGTTAAATAGGGAATATTTTCCCCACTGAATGTTTTTAATCTGCTTATTGAAAAACAAATAATGGTAAGTAGCTGGGTTCATCTCTTGCTTTTATTCTGTTCCATACATCTAACTCTCTGTTTTTGTGCCAGTACCATGTAGTGTTAATCACTAATGATTTATAGTATACTCTGAGGTCGGTAGCGTGATTCCTCCTGCTTTGTTTTTATTTCTGAGTAATGTCTTGGCTATTTGAGGTTTTATCTGATTCCATGTAAAATGAAGTATTATTTTTTTGAGATCTTTAAAGTATGACAGTGGAGCTTTAATAGAGATTACATTAAAATTGTATATTGCTTTGGGTAATATGCACATTTTAACAATGTTGATTATTCCCAGCCATGAGCATGGTATGATTTTCCATTTATTAACATCTTTAGCTATTTCTTTTCTCAGAGTTTCATAGTTCTCTTTATAGAGATCTTTCACATCCTTTGTTAGGTAAACTCCCAAATATTTCATCTTCTTTGGCACTACTGTGAACGGAATAGAGTCCTTGAGTGTTTTTTCAGCTTGACTATTGTTGGTATATATAAAGGCTACAGATTCATGAGTGTTGATTTTGTAACCTGAGACACTGCTGTATTTCTTTATCACTTCTAAGAGTTTTGTAGTAGAATCCCTGGTGCTTTCCAGATATATAATCATATCA